CTTCAAACTACCACAAGGCTCCAGTTACTTCTTGTGAGGGGGGAAGCCTTCCTTCTGGCGTTGCCTATGGCACACCTGACAATAAGCTTCTAGCCATTCCTATAGGCACTATAGCAATGGGACGTGGGTGGCGCTGTGGTCTAAACCACTGAGCATCTTGGGCTTGCCGATCAGAAGGTCGGTTGTTCGAATCCGCACAAAGGGGTGAGGTCCCCTTACTCTGTCCCAGCTCCTGCCAACCTAGCAGTTGGAAAACATACCAGTGCAAGTAGATAAATAGGTACCACTGCGGCAGGAAGGTAAATGGCATTTATGCGCGCTCTGGTTTCTGTCACGGTGTTCCGTTGTGGCAGAAGCGGTTTTGTCCTGCTGACCCCATGACCTGGAAAGCTGTCTGTGGACAAACGCTGGCTCCCTCAGCCTGAAAGTGAGATGAGCGCCGCAACCCCATAGTCACCTTTGACTGGACTTAACCATCCAGGGGTCCTTTACCTTTACCTTTAACCTATAGGCACTATTGTTCAGGATTATGTGCAAGCCACGATGGGCAGGGGATGGCAGGATTTGGGATTCAGTAAGGGGTGCAGAAATATGACAATTTCAGACCCTCCAAGTGTCCCTATTTTCCAAGGGCAGTCCCGGATTTACAGATGCCATCCCAGTTTCTGATTAGATCCCACAATGTCCTGTTTTTCTTTAGGACGTCCCTATTTTCATCAGAGAAATGTCAGAGGGTAAAGAGTTATGCAATCCCCGAGCCAAGGAGATAAGTAACTATACAACCTTTAGCAGACATCTGAAGGCAGCCCTATATAGGGAAGTCATTTAAAATATGTTTAATGTTTTACTAAGTTTTTATGTAAGTTGGAAGCTGCTCAGAGTGGCTGGGGCAACCCAGTCAAATGGGTGGGATGTAAATAATTAAATTGTTATTACTATACAATACCATTTTATTACTATACAATAAGTAACTATACAATCTTTAGAAGACACCTAAAGACAGCCCTGTATAGGGAAGTTTTAAAAAAATGTTTAATGTTTTACTATGTTTTTATATATGTTAGAAGCAGCCCAGAATGGCTGGGGCAACCCAATCAGATGGGCCTGGTATAGATAAGAAAACTATGATTATTATTATTATGGAATAGAACGTCCCTAATTTCAGCAGATATGCAGTTTTGATTTCTCACATGTTCTCATTCTTTCAGCCTTAAGCTCTGTTCTCTACAATTCTACGTCACTTTTTAAAATCCTTACAGAAATCAAAGACAATTTCAGTGTGAATTCTTCGTAGTACACAAACACATTTCCATACACCTAACACAAGCACTCCTGCAAAGCTATTTTCCCTGATGTAATACAGTTCTGTACGTGATACTCACTAATATATGCATCCCTACAAACACTTTAGCCCAGTGTTTGCATCTTTGCATCAGCTGCTAGAGAACTGCATTACAAAATGCAGAATAGTGGAAAAATTGAAGGGTGGCTAGATATTGGCTTGGGTGTTGCTTCAGAACATGAGAATCGGTCAAGATTGCCTTCAAATGCAAAGTGAGTCCCAATTTCTCTCCAACCTCTAGGGGTGGGCAACCTTTTACCTGTCTAGGGTCATCTTCCCTCAGAGGTAATATCTCAGGGACCACCAGTTGTTGGATCAAAGCCACATGTGGGTGGGGACACCCCAATTCCTCTCTCTTTCTGCCACTCCTTCCTCCCTTTCACCCTTTTTTCCATGCCGACCTTTCCCTGCTTCAATTCCCCCCTTGCCACCCACATGAACATAGGCCAAGGACATAAAATTACACTGAGGGCTAGGCGCACTAACTCTAGGTTGCCAGAGGTACTTCGGTCCCCTCAATATTTATTTTCAGGGGACCAGGGCCCCTTAATTAATCCAGAATGCGGCAGCTAGACTGGTGACTGGGAGTGGCCGCTGATTCCATATAACACCGGTCCTGAAAGATCTTCATTGGCTCTCAGTACATTTCCGAGCACAATTCAAAGTGTTGGTGCTGACTTTTAAAGCCCTAAATGGCCTCGGTCCAGTATACCTGAAGGAGCATCTCCATCCCCATCACCCAGCCTTGACACTGAGGTCCAGCGCCGAGGGCCTTCTGGCAGTTCCCTCGCTGCAAGAAGTGAGGTTACAGCAAACCAGGCAGAGAGCCTCCTCGGTAGTGGCGCCTGCCCTGTGGAAGGCCCTCCCAGCAGATGTCAAGGCAATAAACAACTATTTTACTTTTAAAAGACAATGGAAGGAGGCCCTGTTTAGGGAAGTTTTTAATGTCTGATGCTGTATTGTTTTTAATGTTCGGTTGGAAGCCACCCAGAGTGGCTGGGGAAACCCAGCCAGATGGGCGGGGTTTAAATAATAAATTATTATTATTATTATTAATCTTGAGGCAGCCCTGTGCGCATAGTGCGCAAGTGACGTCACATGTGCGACGTGCACTGTGCAACACTGGCTCCTCCAGAGTGCTTGGGCTCCTCTGTCATGCATACATTGCAGGTGCAACATCACACACACTACACCCTGAGCCCCCGAATCTTGGGGGCAAGATGGTGCCTCTGCTGAGGGCTGTAGGTAGGGCTCTTCGTTGCCCATCCTTGTACTAGCTGAAAAATTCAGGGCTCAGCTTTCTCCCACCCGTCTGCATTTTCTTTTTTAAGGTTCGTTTCAGATCCCAGAAAATCCTTACACAAAACCTTTAAAACACTATCCAAAATGTTTACAGCTTAAAATATAATTGTACCTTGAAGCGCTTTTTTTTTTTTTAACCTTCCCAGAAGCATGTTGAGCAATGGTTGTTTCCAGAATGTTGGCAATAGCTCTGGTTAGTTAGTTTAGCAAGAGGCATTTGAGGCGAGGCTTTGTATGTGCAAGAGCCTCTACAACCCACATAAACACTCTTGCAGTGTTTTCCCGGCATGCTTCCAATTTTAATTATCCCCTGCCTACGATAAACTCCCACTGCAAGCCCTGTCTACACTTGCCTGCCGATGACCGCCTGACCTTGCAATTTATGCCTTAAGTCAGTCCGGGTGGAATCTGGTCAAAGTCAACTTTTATCCCTAGATTGAATCCCCCTAGATTCAAAGGTCACTTAGACCTTGTTCCAGGGAAATACTTCCCATGATACCCTTGAGTTGCTCCACGTCTTGTGGACCAACGCCAACCTCTTAATGAAGCTCTATGGTTTAATCTTGGCATAATACTTATTTATTCATTACAATTTTCATCTCACCCTTCTTCTAAGGAGGTCAGGGTGGTGTGCTTGGTTCCTCACTGTCTTTTTTTTTATCCTCACAACCCTGTGAGGTAGAGAACAATTGTGACAGATCCAAGCCCACCCAGCTCAATGGTCAAGTTGAGAGCCAACACTGGCTTTTCTGTGTTCTGGATTTCATTTTTGAAACATTTGTACCACACGGTCTACTCCTCTAAATCAGTCTCCCCCAACCTTAAAACCACCAGGTGTTTTGGACTTCAACTCCCATAATTCTCAGCCATTGGCCATGCAGAGGCCAATGGGAGTTAGAATCCAAGAGCATCTCGAGGGCACCAGTTCAGGGAAGACTGTTCCAAATAATAAGATATGGTAGCATTTTCTGGATTCCCAGAAAATAGTAGTATGAATACCATGGTATCTCAGGTTACAGACACTTCAGGTTACAGACACTTCAGGTTACAGGTTCCGCTGACCCAGAAATATTACCTCGGGTTAAGAACTTTGCTTCAAGATGAGAACAAACATCGTGCAGCAGTGGCATAGCAGCAGTGGGAGGCCCCATTAGCTAAAGTGGTACCTCAGGTTAAGAACAGTTTCAGGTTAAGAACAGACCTCCAGAACGAATTAAGTTCTTAACCTGAGGTACCACTGTAGTAGGTACCGATATCCCAAAGGAGCAGAAAAGACTTTTTATGTATGTGACAACAGCCGCACAGATGCGACTAGCCCAGAGATGAAAAGAAGACAAACTCCCTACCAGAGAGGAATGGCAAACCAAGCTGATGGGCTATGCCAAAATGGCAAAATTGACTGGAAAGCTCAGGAACCGAGAAGAGAAAAACTTCAAGAAAGAATGGGAAAAAATTATTATTTATTTCGGAGACCACTGTAAGCAGATGAAAACATTAGCAGGATTTTAATAACACTTGTAATGTAACAATCACTATGGACAATATGGAGAGATTCAAAATATGAATCATGAAACAACATGCAGTTGAATATAACTTTACGCTTGTAAAATCAAATAAAAATTATTTTCAAACAACTGAAGGGTTATCATCCCCATTGATGGGGATGATTATAGGGTATTATTTCAACAACAAATTAGGGAAAGAGCCATAGCAATATGGTGGAGCTTTGCATGCCAAACATCCTGGATTCATTCTCCAGGTAGGGCTGGAAGATATCCCTGTACTGAGCTTTGTGGACCAATGGTTTGACCTTGTATTTGTAGCTTCCTATATTCCTAAGCAACAAGGGGAAAGTAAAATTGCCATTAATATAGATACTGTCCTACTGAACACAGCCAGGGTTGGCAGATCTGGGTTAGGAAAGCATAAGCCGAATCAGTGTACCAATTTGTTTCAATCTGGCACCCAACCATCCACTGGAACAACTCCTTGTTTGAAATAACCCTTGGCCACACCAAGCCACATTCCATCTGTCTACCAGATCCCAATAAATCTTCATTTCTGACCACTGCAGACTTTTGTGGGTAAGCAGGTTGCACAAGCTGGCTTCAGTGGGAATATTCTGCATGTGCATATCTTTCAGGAAACAGCCGACTCCAGCAGTTCCAGTTCCAACGCCACATGGCAATGTAAATGGATTGCAAAATCTGGCAGGTGAAAGTGGGTGTAAATTAGGCAGCCAGGAGTAACAAAGGAAGCTGCCTTCTACCAAGTCAAACCATCAGTCCATGGAGCAGAGTATTGTCTACATTGGTTGGAAGCAGCTCCCAGGTTTCAGATGGAGTTCCTTTGGTCCTACCCACAGATTCAGGGATTCAACCTGCAACCTTTGGCATCCAAAGCAGATGCTCTACCACTGAGCTATGGCCTTCTCCAAAAATTTGAGAAGAAGTCAAGGATTTGGAAAGATTTGTGGTGTGGTACAGAGAGGCTATGCAGAATGACATTCTTGATATCAGTTAACAGGCATTGCTAAGGGGAAGTCAGCAATGAGGCCAACTCCTGGGACGACCAGCTCTTAAGGGCAGGCTGAGGACAGATGGGAAGCAAACTCTGCTGGAGACCAGGCCTGTAGCTACATGACTTTGCTTCAAGCAAATTCCAGCTATATCCCCCTCTAGTCGCTCATACCAAAGTCTTTTGAGGTATATGAGTTAGTTAAAACACATCTGAAATTGTGTGTGTGTGTGTGTGTGTGTGTGTTTGAAATAATAAGAATAAAAATCATTGGTTTTCCAATAAACCAAAAGAAGAAGCAAACCATCATATATTATTGCTTCTTCTTTTTTAAAAAAAAGCAGTGCTGCTTCTTAGACACATAATGAGCAAAAACAGTCAAGATCTACTTGATACTCCCAGTCTGTGCGAAAGACGGAGAAAATGAGAGAGGCAAAGGGAGGGTTGTTAATCTTTCTCTAGTGCTACATCCTGCTTCTAGTGGGTCACATTCAGCCTTTGAAAAAGTACCGCATGTTCGGATTTCTCACATTTTCCCAGCTGGAGAGAGCACTGCTTGACTCAAGAAATCTTATTTCTCTATCTTTCTGTTTTGTTTAGTATTGCTATGAACGTGATCTCCAGCACAAGCACTGAAAGAGCCTCTCAGAAAACCTTCTCACTTTAGGGGTATAACAAAAGAACACAGATCCCTCTCCCTACAACCCCCTCCCCAATACACATACACACCACGTGCCTTTGAAATCAACCTCTAAAGAAAACACAGGAAACATAAGGCTAGCCAAACCGTGAATGGGAATAGGTCTATCCTTATGTGGTCACACAGGCCAATGAAGCACTATATCCCTCAGCCTCTCTTGTTCAGATTGATTTACTAGCCGCGTTCGTAGTCCAGCTCCGCCGCCAGAAGAACACAAAGGGAGTCAAACATCTGGCAAATTTGCTCCAATTGTTGTGTGAAATATCTCTGGTTCGGGTTTCACTGAACAGTAAACAAGTCATTGTCTCTGAAAAGTGGTTTGCTCGGCTGTCAGAACGAAACCCTGACAATCAACAATAGATGTCAAGCATTTTTTGTTGTTGTTGTTGTTGCCGCTGCATTCTCCTCGCTCTCCCGCCACCACCTCTCCTCCGTTGGGTTTGTTGGTATTTCAAGGCAGACAAATGAGCGCCGTTTCTGTGGCGGGTGATGGATGGGAGGTGGTCATGTGACTCTGCTGGTTCCGTGAAAAATGCACTGGGCTTGCAAAGTGTTGCATCAAATTTAGCCCAGTCTCCACGGCATCGCTCACATCCCTGCATACCCAGAGGAGATGTAGGAAACAGACTTGACAAAGTATGCGCCCTGAATGAACCCCTTTTCATGCATTACACACTGAGAGCCTCACTCCTACTTCAGCATGAGCTGTACATACATGTAACGTGTGAACAGGACAGAGGAGCTTTTGGCTCCCACCTCCCCATTGTTGGTGCATACAACATCATTTTCTGAGGCTATGCATGTGTGTGAGTTTGTGTGCATGAGTTCAGAATTTGGGGTGGAATAGGGGGCCCCCTGCAGTCCGCCAGCCAAGGCCCCATCATGGCCTTAATCAGGCAATTCTAAGCAGGGCCAGCCCACTCATGAGGCAAAGTGAGGTGACTGCCTCAGGCGGCACAATCCACAGGGGCAGCAAATCCAGCCTCCAAAGAATTCATCGCCTCCTCCTCCTGCTGCTGCTGCCACTGTTACAGGGTTAGCAATGGCTGTGGCACACTCCTTGGAGGCTGCATCTTCTGCCTCCTCTGGAGCACCCCACTCCATGCTTCTTGACTGCTGGTTCCCTCCCCCCTTCTTCATGTAGATATTTCCTCCGTGTTCCAATATAGCTCTTCATTCACCCTTTCTTTTCTGGTGGGTGGTTCACCGCAGGTGCCAAAATGTCTTGGGCTACTTGTAAGTGACAAAAGGTCATGTGAAATGTATATCCCTGAAGGAGCATCTTCTGGCAGTTCCCTCACTGAGAGAAGTGAGGTTACAGGGAACGAAGCAGAGGGCCTTCTTGGTAGTGGCTCCCGCCCTGTGGAATGCCTCCCACCAGATGTTAAGGAAATAAACAACTAACTGACTTTTAGAAGACATCTGAAGGCAGCCCTGTTTAGGGAAGTTTTTAATGTTTGATGTTTTAGTCTGTTTTAATGTTCTGTTGGGAGCCACCCAGAGTGACTGGGGAAGCCCAGCCAGATGGTCAGGGTATAAATAAGTTGTTGTTGATGATGATGTTGTTGTTTTGCTTTGTTTTATCTAACTATCTCTCATCAAGAATTATATACTACTTAGTCAGAAAAACCTCTAACTATATAAAAATAATATAATATAAAATAATATAAAATATCAATTAAAATACTGATAAAGTACCCATAATTATATGTATCAGATATAGATAGGATCAACTGCATATATACATATTAAATGACATGTCTGGGTAGGCTTGCCTAAACAAAAGGGTTTTTAGCAAGGTGTCAAAAAGCGTACAGTGGAGATGCCTGCCTAATACCAACTGCAATGATTTCAAATCTAGATCAATAAAGAAGGAGCCAGAGGCTGTGGCTCTATTTGTAGATAAACTGCTTCTGTTTTTGAGATTTTCTTTTTTCTTTTCTTTTTGTTTGCTGCTTTCTTTACACTATTAGCAACTGCAGTTGCATCTCAATCACTTACCGTATTTTTCGCTCTATAAGACACACAAGACGCACCTAGTTTTTGGAGGAGGAAAACAAGGGGGGGGGGAATTCTCAGAAGCCAGAAACAGCAAGAGGGATCGCTGCGCTGTGAAAGCAGCAATCCCTCTTGCTGTTCTGGCTTCTGGGATAGCTGCGCAGCCTGCACTCGCTCCATAAGACGCACACACATTTCCCCTTACTTTTTAGGAGGGAAAAAGTAAATCTTATAGAGCAAAAAATACGGTATATAGGAAATAGTTTTAGGCGTTCCCACACAGGGTAGCAATACAGGGCCTGGATGCTGCACCCAGTAACTCCCTGCTATCTTTTAGATCAGATGTTGGGAATCTTTGTTTTTTGTTTTTTTTTAAATGATATTTATTCCAAGTTTAAAGTTACAAAAAGGGGGGGGGGGAAAACAGTACAAAATACAAAGAAAAATTTAACCATAACAGAGCAAAAAGTAAAAAGAAAAAAGAAGAACAATAAAGTAGAATAAAAAAAGCAAAACAAAAGATATCAAAATGCACTGAATTAAAATAGGACAAAAACAAATTAAACCTTTACATGACTTTTTCCTTTTACTTATTTCCTTGACCTCCTCTCACCTCCCAATTTTGTATTCTAGTTCAGATCGTTTTTTTCAGCAAATCCTTCCAACCTTATTTTCATTTACGTATTTTAATTTAAAATATTATAATTAAACATCCTCTGTTTCATCAATTTCATCCACTCATTTTTACTTAATCCTTTATCTCATATCTACCAAACCTGCCTAATTTTCTTTTTCAGATGTTGGGAATCTTTGGCCCATTGGCCATGCTTGTCAGTTCTAGCATTGCAGGGGGCTGGACCACAAGTCCCTTCGAGTCCTTTCCAACTCTACGATTGCACAAATCTTTAGAGCCTCATAGCACAGCACATGCACCCTCCTCCGTTAAATCAATTTCACAGACACCCAGCAAAAGAGGGCAAGACCTTTATTAGAAGGGGTCTGGTTCCAGCCCCTCCTGGGGCAAAACTAAAGCTGTTTCTGTACATGCATTCAATTCAAGACTTGCTGTCTCTCCCCCCCCCCCCAACATCTTGAGTTTGGCTTCCCTTCCCTTAACATTGCTTTTGATATGTTTGCAGCCCAGTGGATTGAATTTTGATTCAATTTGATACTTTGCCTCTGCATCAGATGGGCTTGCCACCTTTATTTTTAAAAGCACTACAGTTATTCACATGCAATCTGCTGTGTTTTAAGGGAAAGTGCAGAAACGTTTTAAAAAGAGAGAAGTTTCAATAAGGCTCTGACATACGATGCTGCCTTTGACTAACAGCCAAGGACACAGGAACAAGCCAGACCATGTTTCTCAAGCAATGCTCGGCTGGCACAGGAAGGTCTTCTTGCCCAGCAGGAACCAGCAAAGCTAGTCCAGGCAGAGGTGGATTTAGGGCAGTCTAGCAGTGTGGTCACACTGGGTATGCAGCCGAGGAGCGTGCCTTCTCAAAACCTGGTAAGCGCTTGCCTGGCATCGAGAAGAAGGCATGAAGGCTCTGACAGGGTCCTAGAGTCCTCCTGTCTCCTTCCCAAAGCAGGGCAAGTGCAAACCCCTCAACATTTCTCCAATGAAAATAGGAGCGTCCTATTCCACCATCCTATTCCTATTCCTAGTCCTAGTCCTGCCCACCTAGCAGTTCGAAAGCAAGTCAAAGTGCAAGTAGATAAATAGGTACCACTCCGGCGGGAAGGTAAATAGCGTTTCCGTGCCCTGCTCTGGTTCGCCAGAAGCGGCTTAGTCCTGCTGGCCACATGACCTGGAAGCTGTACGCTGGCTCCCTCAGCCAATAAAGCGAGATGAGCGCCTCAACCCCAGAGTCGGCCACGACTGGACCTAATGGTCAGGGGTCCCTTTACCTATTCCACCACCATCATCATTATTATTAATACCCCACCCATCTGTCTGGGTTGCTCCAGGCAGCTTCCAACATATTAAAAAACACAACAAAACATTAAGCATTAAAAAAAAACTTCCCTATACAGGGCTGCCTTCAAATGGCTTGGGGGTCAGATAACTCCATACCCTCTACCATTTCTCCGATGAAAATATGGATGTCTTACCAAACCGTCTCACATTTCTCTGATGAAAATAGGGGCATCCTAAGGAAAAGTGGGACATTCTGGGATCAAATCAGAACCTAGGTTGGCTTTTGTAAATGCAT